GTTTGCCATCACTGCCCTAGCATAATCAAAATTTGGCAAATAGATTCCTTCCATTCAAATGATTTTTGCCATTTCACCTCCCCCCTTATCCAGCTTCTTTTTGTCTCAAAGAAAACTGCCAGAAATCTAATTTTATCATTCATTCATTCATCCATCCATCCATCCATCCATCCATCCATCCATCCATCCATCCATCCATCACGTTTATATAGCCGCCCATGTCACAAATGTGACTCTGGGCTGCGTACAATAAAAATGAACCATAAAAAGCAAACATTAAAAACATTCCATAATAAAAGGAACAATATTATTAAAAAAAGACTAGGAGAAAGCATCTTCAGTGTTACAAGCAATGTAGCCATCTCAACAAATTTCCACTTCCCTGAGATCCCTAAGCTTGCTGACATAGTCACATTTGAGGGACTTTTGGAAGGCTACCAAAGATGGGGCCGGTCTCACCTTGGGGGGAATGATGTTCCAGAGGGTGAGCACCATAGCAGAAAAGGCCCTCATCTTTGTAGCAGAGACTGAAATCATAATCTCTGGCCTCAGGTACTTCCTAAAGTCCTTGCTATTATCTCCAGCCACCCTCACATGCTACTCTTGCTTCCGATCTTTCTTTGAAGGAAGGGCCCCGCAATGCTAATGGAGACCTTCAAAGCTGACTCAGAAATTGTATTTTCAATTGTCAGTGCAAATTTAGCAACCAGATGTGTTAATAGATCCCTTAGCAGGAAAGACATTACGTTCTGGACGCTGACGAGTTCCCAGCCACAGTAAGAAATATTTGGTTGGCAAATAGTGTGAGACTGGCTGCAGGTAGAAATAGCCAGTCTGGAAGCAGATGAGTTCAGGAAGAAGAGCACATTCCTCTGGGGTTCACAGATTAAACTCACATGAGTCAGTTCCCATTCTTCATTTTCTGGCACTCGGGAGTGTTTCCCCGTATAGTGACAATCTCCCAACTCAACAGGTCCTATCTTGGCTCGGAGGCACAGCTGCTTGCCAATGTTGTGTCGCAGGTCTCGCTGGGACGTGTATTCAAAGTACTAAAAGCAAAACAGGCAAGGGGATAAGAAGCTTTCACCACCAGAAACAAAACCAAAAAAATGGATAATTTTGAAAGGAAATTTTGACACTTCAGTACATCAATATCATTCATTCTATTTCTCTAGACTTTTCTGCTTTCACAAATCGCCCCACCATCTCCACATATTACTTCCCACATTGCCTTTCATTCTTCAGAGTTCATCTCTTTCTCTCTCTCATTAACTCCATCCAACCACCACTTTTTCAGCCTATTTTCTCTTAGCTCATCCACTCTTCCTTCAGATATTCACTCATTCCTTGTCTATATATGACCAAATTCCTCAACATACTTCTTTTATACTGATTACTTCCTTTTGTATTCAGGCTACATTCATCCATCCTTAACCCTATCTCTGCTTGGACAAACAAACTTCTTAAATAACCCATTCCCACTGCATTCAACTTAGCTTGATGTCTTTCCTGACATTCCAAATTCCCACTAATATTAAAAAAAAAAAATATCCCTTTTTCAGGATGTTCCAAACTGTTGTATTGGCCACTCCCAATGTTTTTGCTATCTCTCTG